TAGTTGCAACTATTTTTTAAATTATTTTAAACATTATCAAATTAATATCTTGAATAAAATGCAAACAAAAGTGTATAAACATAACTTTAAAATGAATGTAATCAAAGCTGATTTTCTTTACTTCATTATAAAATTTCAAAAAACTCCCAACTATGACGATTTTTCTTCAAATATTTTGAAATTCCAGGATAAAGTTATGTTTTGGGAACAAAACTAACTTATTCCGCCACGTGGAATTACTGTCTAAAGTAAAACCTAATGTAAGAGCTTATAATAAAAAATTGAGTCGAGAAATTAACGTATTGATTGAACGATCAACCTACGAAATAGACGCTTGTAATGGGATGACAGCACTGGAATGGGAATTCCCGTCTTTCTGGGAATGGAACAATGGTAGTCGACACCGAGGATTTATACATTATTCACTACCATTTCAAGGTATGCTTAAAACATGCTTGACTTTTAACCTTGTCTTCCATAAATGTTATCAGAATGATTATAAGACTTAAAAGCAACTTATCAATGAATCTTCTGTACAAATAAAAACAAGTCAGTTAGATATAGATTTTTCCGAGCTTCTTAAAAACATCCTTTTTAATTATTATATTTTCAGTTACGGAATCTTAAACTACGCACCTACTGCTGTGCTTTCTAAAAATGCAAAACTTCAGGTTCTGTACCAAAGAGTTACCGATCTAAAATGACAGGCATCTCAAACGTTGAAACAATTATTTTACATAACGATGTAATAATTTATTTAAAAATAAAAACAAAACTCTGTCAAGTCACTAGGAAATACAGAAAATATAATTATGCACACATTATTTATCAAATATATAATTGTTAATCAAATATTTTTATAGTTAACGATAAGCTATGACTTCAGAATCCACTGATGATTAAGAAACCAAAAAAATATATTTACGTTAACCTATTAAATTTAATTTTAAGAAAACTTTTTTATTATTAAGTGACTCTTATTATTTTGTCAATTATAAGAATAAATTTTAATTTAGTTTCTTATTTTGCAGATTCATTCCGATCCTCCGAAATTAGGATTAGAAGTAAGACATGGGCCAGTGGTCGAGAATGAGCCAAAAGAAAAAACAGCTCCAGCCTTCACAACATTTTATGAAACGACAGATTTTTGGTCTGCATCAAAGGAAGTATACTTTGTTTTGGCTCAAGATGCTAATGAATGCGGAGCTCGTATTTCAGTAAGCTCATTTAATAATTCAAATCATTAAAAAAAGTTTAAAATTTGAAGTAAACATTTTTCAAAAGATAACATCTCCTGTTTTCAATGCAAATTTTGTGTATCAATTAGCTTGAATAATTAGGACTTTCTTGAAAATAATTTTCTCGCAACAAACAAAAGGTAGTAATAAATTATATACTTTTTAAAAAATAGATTTATTCTGTAAATAGTGTATAAATAGTATAACATTTAAGCTTTTTTCTAATTTATTTTTCAAATAATTTATAAACTTGTGAATAAATTATAGGCTCCGCCAACCAAACATACGTTCCTTCTGCGTGATCAAATTTTCAACTTTCGTCCAGGAATGGTGTAAGTAGTATAATGATATTTAATATTTTGGATCTAACTTTAAATTTAGATCGAAATTAAGATATCTGAGGATATGATGGGAGTAAAAGTTTTTTGCAAATATTTATTACAAGTATTACAAATATAAATAAATACATATATAATTAAATAAATATATATCCTATTATAAGTTATCACATACTGAATTATTTTGAGCCTGCATTTCATCTTTGACCCAAGTTTGTTCGACAATAGGTCATATTTGGGTAAATATAAATAAACAAATAAATAAATAAATAAATAATATATATAATCAAATCAGCACCACACGGAGGTTATTCTTCTTTTCTTCATTATTGATTCCGGCGCTGGATCTCATTTTGGTATTTTCGCCTCGCTCTCAGTTCTGCACTGCTGATCTTCGCTACTTCGTCCTTGTGGAATCCATGACGCTGATCGAATTAGATGCTTTCGAGCGTCTTCTTGAGCACTATTGTTTGGATATACACCAAAGTACCTCGACGTGATCAGATATAATAATCTCCTTCGTATAGCATTTGTGGAAGTTCGTTACAATCCCATCCCAAGTTATCACATATGGAATTATTTTGGTCCTGCCTTTCATCTCTGACCCAAGCTTATCAGCAATAGGTCATATTTTCGCTTTTTCTCGGTCTCGACTGCTGTCAACCTGCCCTGACTAGTGATGCCAACCTCTATCAGGATTACTTCACGTCACTTCTTATCGTGGGTCATGATATCCGGTTGATCTGGATTTATTTTTGTAGCTGTATCTTCTTTTCTATACTTACCTTCCACTCCGATGGCTTCTTCTCTTGCCTTGTCATGCCTTCATAATATTGTTGTGCTGCCTGGAGCTGCCTTGCAATATCAGTCATTGACTTGGTGGATTCTGTGTAGCATATTCACCTGCCGCTTGGTTTACTGCTCCAAGTATGAGCGGGTCCACGCATTTCGGTGTTATTTTCTGCGTCTACTTTGTCTGGTTTATCTCACGTCTCTGTGCCTCTTGCATCAGCACTAAATATTTCTCTTTTACATCATGATAAACCTCAGACTCCTGTAGCGTGTTTTCCTCGTAGTGCGTATCTTGGGTTTGACACGTCTCGTGGACTCCTCCATGAATCGTTTCTGTGAGCATAGATGACCTGCAATACTGGTGATCACAAAATTCGCTTGCTTCTTCAGTTCTTCAAGGGTGATAGCACACAAATAGGAAGCAACATGGCCATGCCTCTCTCGAAATTTTTCAAAATAGGTCAACGACGCTTTCAACACTTCTCCTGGCCACCTGCTTCACGAGATTCCGAGATTCCGATCCCACGAACGAGTGTTTCAAGTGTGATCATTCTGCTGGTACCGAGTTCCGGTATATTAGTAGCATATTCTCTCAAACCCTTCACATAGCTTTTAGCAACCGCATCTGTTTTCCACTGTTTTCATTTATGATTCTAGATACGGACTTCATCCTTTTGCCCTTCATTTTCTATTGCTTGAACAAATTGCTCAGAGTCAACTTCGGCGTCAGTTGCTATAGATTGATTGCACTCAATATATTTATAAACTTTTGAAATTTTGAAGGTTAATTATTTCAGATATCGCGTTAGGAAAGGTATCAATATCTGGTCAATACCTCTTGGTTTTATTGCTGGTACCTGCGCTGGGTAACTTTTGCTTGCTTTTTATTTAAAATTCGCATAACAGTAAATTTAATTAAGACTTTGATAGAATAATTATTAAAAGTTTCTTGTAAAATGTTTTAAATCTTGAAAAGACATCTGAAAAATCTTGAAAGAATTGTTTTAAATTAACTTTCTTCCATTCTAAAAATTTTCATTAGTTTTATTCATTTATGCATTTAGAGTCTTCGGGGCTTCATATTTGCTGTGTAGGAATTTCAATACGTTTTACAAGCGTTGGAATGCACAAATGAAGAAAACATACGGAAAATTCGCAACTCCAGACGTCTCAGCTGTATATTTTACAACTTATTTTTCTATATGGTCTAATTATAATTTTTTAAACATTCCTAAATACTTGTTTTGAGTACATCTAATAGAGTAAATTTTTATAAAACTCTAAAAAATTGACTTTTAAAGAAATAAAATTGTCAAAGAAGGATACTGAAATGGATGTTCAGATATGAAGTTTTATGAAATTCAAATATAGTTTTTATGATATCGTAGATGTCAATAGTTGGAGCTGGAGGTATTTCTCAAATAGATGCTGCGCAACCATCAATGATTGGTTCACAGATGGGAGTTTCTCAATTTGGTGACAGTACCTTTGGTACAGGTAATTTTAAAAATGCAAGAAATATTATTTGTAAATCGAAAGAAAATATGAATCATTATTATTTGTATAAAAAATTTATTTGAATTATACTTGGCATATTTCAGAATTTTCCCAGCGAAAATAACGAGTTATTTATTCAACTGGCAAACAAGTTATCAAGCAAATGAATCAAATGTGATAATTATTTAATCATTGTTGATCACTTTTGTATAAAACAATGATATTCACTCACTGATCACTTTTATGGATTAGTGTTTGTGATCAAAAAAATTTCTCAGCAATCTTGCATTTTTTTGTTTTTTTGATAATAGTGTGAATTAATTTGATATTGAGTGTATGAAATTAACTTCAAAATAGTTAAAAGCTAAAACAGTATTTTTCATAAACGTGAATCACGAAGATTCTATAAAAGATATTTTGAAAAGTGGAATCAAGAAAGATTGAACTGAATGATTTAGTGATACTTGAAAAGAAGCACTAAAATTTGTCGATTTATGATTAATCTAAAAAATATTTAAAATGATTATATGATGCTTGGCGTTGTATTCAGTTACAAATTTATCGTTAGCAGTCATGTGGTACAAAATTACAAAGTTTAAAAAAATGCACCCTTTGTTGATTGAATCTAATTAGGTCAAGAACTAATGTCTTACTTTTTTATGACTGAGACGTAACTTGAAAAACTGAAGGATTATTATCATAATTGTGAAAACCACGTATGATTTGTTAGCAAAGCAAATTTTGATTGTGTTTTTGACTTATGATGTTTTTGACTAATTTTGAAGAACTCAAAATGAGATTTATAGTATGTAAAATATGATAGTGCCATTTTTATTTTTAGATTATAAATCTTACTTTTATTCATTTATTTGCACCTAAAATAGTTCAAAAAATCAGCTAAGTTCAATTTTAAAATGTAAGCGAGTTTACATACGATAAAAAATTCAGTGTATTATTAATCAATATATCGCTATAATAATTTTAGAGCTAATGATTGATTGCTCAATTGTCGTAGCCCATCATGAAGAATCTTTGAAGAATATTCAGAATTTTGAAGTGATACGCCAACAAACACGTTTCTGCGTCGGATTCGGCGTCGACAGGTCTACTGTTCCCATGTTAAATAAGTCGCCATCTTTGGCATTAACAAAGCCATAAGGTATATATTTCTCTAAGGTCAGTGTGCAGATCTAAATCAGAAAAAATTAAATAATACATAAGAATATGAAGTTTGTTGGTTAAAAGCTTTATTTTGATTGTACAAAAAAAAATTTTTTTGTAAGCAAAGAAAAAATGAGTACTAATTATTGATGCCAACATTTGAAAATCATTGTTAAAATCTGTTTAGTAAGTTTTTGTATTTTCATTACTACAAAAGTTTATTTAGAATAATTAGCTATAATTATCAGCAAACTTTCCAAATAAATAATAACTATTTTGACAAAATTATTTACTGATAAAAGTAATAAAATAAGCTCTGTTAGTGAAATTAAACGAATTTTCGTCTTGATTATTTTATTTGCTTAGAAAATGCAAGAAATGCTTAGTCTTAAATATGCACTAAATTTGAGTTATAAGAAAATTTTAAGAAAATTAGAGACATTATTATTTAAGGTTATAAATTTTGTACTTATAAATCGAACTATCTATATGTGCAGGTCAAAGGTATGCAGGTCAAAGGTTTGATAAATAAATACTCTTAAAAGAAATAAACGTGTGAAAAGGATAAAGATACTGTGGCTTGATCATCGCAGTCATGAATAATGTCAATTCTTGGAGCAATCTCATTTTTTGACTTAACACATCTATGAATTTGGAAATAACCATTTTTATTTGTTCTAACACTACCCATCTTATAGTCGATGCCAAATCGCTCTGAAATCATATAATTTAGGTAAGTATACGTTTTTGACGTATACACTTTAAGAAGAAACGTATAATTTCGTCAGTTAACTTTGCTTTTTTGACTTCATTTATTTTTTTAATAAGATAACAAGAATTTTTGATTCAAATTAGTAACTATATACTTTTACGTTTGTTTTGACTAATTGGCTTGATTTCCAAGTTTTAAGTAATGACAAATCGCTTAACAGTATGTATGAATTAAACTGTTTATATAACCCATTACACTTTGATTAATATACATTTAAGTACAATTAATAATTATGATAATTTTTAATTTTATGAATTTCACTATATTATTGATATAAACTACGAGTAATAGTATTTTGATAAAGCTAAAGTAATAAATTAAGTTTATAGCGTGAACTAATAAAAATCTAATATTTATTTATATATTTATTATCACTGCGTACTTATCAATCAATTTACAAAAATTTACAGCTAAGCTATTTTAAAAGTTGTTCTTTTTAATATATGATTTAACTTTATTTCATATTTTTATAACATAAATAAAGTTGAAATTATTACTTACGTCTATATTACAATATAAATATAAGTTATGACTTAACTTTATTTATGATATGTTTTTATATAAAGTATTACATTTTTCTCATTATCAGTATGAGTTTTTGTTTATAAAAGCTAAAATTCATTTTATTAACATTGAATCACAAGACAGCACCTTCGTCCCACAATTCTACATTTGTGTTACGAGACGGTTTATCATCGCAAATTAACGTTCCAGTTGCGCCAACACAATACTTTGGCAAAGTTGATTTTTGATAATACTTGATCAAACCAGGATCAAACATGCATGAGACTGAATGGAATAAAATTACAGCGATTGAAACAAATAGTATCATTGGTTCCTGAAATATCATACTGTAATTATTAGAAAACATTTTTAGATAAATTATTTGATAATTATTAATATTTCATGAAAATAACACGCAGAAAATGATAAATGAAATTAGTGACAATATTCTTGAAGCTTATTTTGAAAATTGAGATCCTTAAATAGGAGCATCAGTAGATTATAGTTCTATTTTGTATTTGAAAAACAAATACTTCATAAAAAAATATGTAATAAATAATGTTTTGATATATTCTAGCAAGTAGATTTTATATTTGAACCATAAAAAATATTATTTTATTCTTTTACACAAAAGCATTCATTTTTTTATTGCGTATTTTTTATTATGTATTTTTCATCTTTCACATATTTTTATTATATATTTATTCAAACTTGCTTATATTCGATATAAGTTCAAATATCAGAGAAGCCAATAAATGAATGCATCATTTTAAAAAAGTTATTGTTAAAGAAGATTGGAAAAAATTATCTCTGCAATATTTTACATCAAGAATATGATTTAGTATTCAATTTGGATTTTCATTATCGTTGATAAATTTGAGGTGGCAAATTTATTTGTTCACTAATTGAATTAATTAGTCTTTAAGCTAAATTATTGTGGTGAAATGAATGAATCCATTTATGAAGAAAATTTCTAATGACAATAAAATAAAAAAACTTTTTAAAATTTTCTACATTTTCAAAAAGAGAGATTTAAAAAATTGTTACACAAAATAAAAATTTGGGATCTATTCATAATTTTGGAACATTGGAATTTC